CTGATCATCCGACTGAAACTGTACTGGTAGCTGATCATCCGACTGAAACTGTACTGGTAGCTGATCTTCCGAATGAAACTATAATGGTAGCTGATCATCCGACTGAAACTATACTGGTAGCTGATCATCCGACTGAAACTGTACAGTCAGCTGATCATATCGTTATCTCAAACTGTACGGTCAGTTGATCATATCGTCTGTCTCAACCTGTAGGTTCAGGTGATCATATCGTTATCTCAAACTGTACGGTCAGCTGATCATATCGTTATCTCAAACTGTACGGTCAGCTGATCATAGCGTTATCTCAAACTGTACGGTCAGCTGATCATATCGTCTGTCTCAACCTCTAGGTTCAGGTGATCATATCGTTATCTCAAACTGTACGGTCAGCTGATCATATCGTCCGTCTCAACCTCTAGGTTCAGGTGATCATATCGTCTGTCTCAACCTGTAGGTTCAGGTGATCATATCGTCTGTCTCAATCTGTAGGTTCAGATGATCATATCGACTGTCTCAACCTGTAGGTTCAGATGATCATATCGTCTGTCTCAATCTGTAGGTTCAGATGATCATATCGACTGTTTCAACCTGTAGGTTCAGGTGATGATATCGTCTGTCTCAACCTGTAGGTGTAGGTGATCATATCGTCCGTCTCAACCTTTAGGTTCAAGTGATCATATCGTCCGTCTCAACCTGTAGGTTCAGGTGATGATATCGTCTGTCTCAACCTGTAGGTTCAGGTGATGATATCGTCTGTCTCAACCTGTAGGTTCAGGTGATCATATCGTCCGTCTCAACCTGTAGGTTCAGGTGATCATATCGTCCGTCTCAACCTGTAGGTTCAGGTGATCATGATAAATCGCTGTGCTTCCTCTTTTCTGAATGTAAATCAGTAATCCAGTGTATTGCTGAAATGTTTATAGGAGAGAATGTATTTATATAAAATAAAATATTTATAAAATTCCTACTTTATTAGACCCTAAATGTGAAAACAATAAAAGTGTGTTAAGATTAATTCTAAAACGACGGCGATCCAAGGGTGAGCTGAAGAAAAACCTATATTTACCAACTGCCCTTGAGAAAAAGTCTTTGATACATTAATACTACAGGAATTGTGAACAGCGGACATATAAAACTAAATACAGGCGATTCTCTTTATCGCTATAAGAATCGCAAAGCCCTCTGGACAGACTGATTGAATGAAGATTAGCACAAGTTTGAAAATACAGCGCAGCGAAGATTAACCGAGTTCTCTGAATTGTATTGATAATATCGGTGAGAGAAGAGCAACAGAGCCGTGACCTTGTGTTTGTGGTCAGCCTTGAACCCCGTATATGGCATTCCTCGTTCCTTTATTTGCTCTTCCCTGCTCGTGTATTACACCTCTTGTTAGTCTAATGACAAAGGAAAAACATTTTGAGTATTTGATGAAATGATAAGAAAACAATAGTTAGAAAATCTGTTCCGCCAGTGTTTACTAAAGATGACCACCATCTCTCCACAAGCACTGACCAGAACGATTAGAGATAAAGACAACTTACTTGACAGACTCACAACAGGTTTCTCGAGCTGTACTGAAAGAAAGAAAAGCTAAAAGAAAATACTTCCTGCATAGGACATGAAAACAGACGAGGCAGCTGTTTTAAAAGTCGTGCGTCATCAACAGAAATAATCAGAATACAAAGAATATTGATGGTTGATACTTCCATGCTCAGTTCTATCAAGAATTAAAGCAATTCAGCACTAGATCTGTAGATAGCTTCACCAGACCTTTAGATCCATCAGACATCTAACAAGTGGTAGCTCTACGTATAGCTCCACAAAACCTTCAGCACCAAACATCTAACATTTGATAGCTTTACGTAAAGCTCCACAATACCTTTAACATCAAATATATAACATGTGATAGCTCTACGTATAGCTCCACAAAACCTTTAGCACCAAACATCTAACATTTGATAGCTTTACGTACAGCTCAACAAAACCTTTAGCATCAAATATATAACAAGTGATAGCTCTACGTATAGCTCCACAAAACCTTCAGCACCAAACATCTAACAGCTTTACGTACAGCTCAACAAAACCTTTAGCATCAAATATATAACATTTGATAGCTCTACGTATAGCTCCACAAAACCTTCAGCATCAAACATCTAACAGCTTTACGTATAGCTCAACAAAACCTTTAGCATCAAATATATAACATTTGATAGCTCTACGTATAGCTCCACAAAACATTCAGCATCAAATATCTAACAGCTTTACGTATAGCTCAACAAAACCTTTAGCATCAAATATATAACATTTGATAGCTCTACGTATAGCTCCACAAAACCTTCAGCATCAAACATCAAACAGCTTTACGTATAGCTCAACAAAACCTTTAGCATCAAATATATAACATTTGATAGCTTTACGTATAGCTTCATAAAACCTTTAGCACCAAGTACATAACACGTTATAGCTACATCAGACCTTCAGCTTGAGGAAACGTCTAAAAGGTTATAGTACTTCGGATCGTTCCAATTAGTAGCTTTGAAGTTACAAAAACTGGTTAAATTCTGTTCCTCTTCTCTCACTTCAGAATACGATCGTTTATCAAATAATGCTTCCTAAAGTGGCTACATTATTTCCATAGGATCGTTCATCAAATATTACTTCCTCAAGTGGCTACATTCTTTCCATAGGATCGTTCATCAAATATTACTTCCTCAAGTGGCTACATTATTTCCATAGGATCGTTCATCAAATATTACTTCCTCAAGTGGCTACATTATTTCCATAGGATCGTTCATCAAATATTACTTCCTCAAGTGGCTACATTCTTTCCAACTTTCTTCTCCTAACTGTCCAGACAAAATTCCAGGTTTATCAGCTTCGTACACGCGTACATACAATGCGCTCATATTTTAACGCTTCCTCATTATTATAGGTAATTAACAATGTTGTAGTTTATAGTCTTTGTAAAACTATCAACTTCAAAACTACGACTCTGTGTAAAAATATCCCTAAAGAGGAAGACCGTAACTTCAAGATATGTAGTAAAACGCTGCATATTCTATTTACAATATATATATATATATATATATGATATAATAGGCCTGACCTGGCCTGATGGTCAGTGTTTCCAGACTTAAAATGGCTCATGTACACTTACTGTAAATACGTCAAGAGTGACAGTCAAATCACACTATTCGGTCGGGCAATAGTAACCTATGAGTAGGTGGGTACTGTTGGCTAGCTACCTTCCCTCTAGTGTATCAGTTCAAAATTAGGGGCGTTATGTAACTTTGCACGAAAATTATTAACAAACAATTTAATAAGTTATCATAAAATATAAAGAACTAGACAATTATCACCAAATAAAACAACAGAACTATTAACTAAGATCATAATAAAATGTATAATAACTGATATAACCAGGCAGCATGTTTTGGTTACAGTTTAGCTTCTGAGATACATAAAAAGATGGAATAGAGTGCCCCGATTTTGCCCGAAGTTTAGAGGTTTCCCACATTACCCTACCTTATATGTTTTTTTCTAGGAAATGTCTCAAAAATTTCTTGTACCTTTCTGTAAATAACAAAAATACTACTGACGTTTAAAGATTGTTTTTTACTATCTAAACTTGGGCAACATCTGGAACAAACAATCAGGTTCAACTGTTGACCAGAGAAAAGGCGGATTTGAAAGGCAAAATTATGTCACACCAGAGCTGCAAATGCATAATGTTTTTAGAGGGGTATCGGAGCTCGAATTTGATTATTTCGACCCAGAACACCAACCACCAGGCCAAAATTGGACCTTCTACTAATAAGAAACAAGGTATTAACTGCTGCATAACTCATACTATTTAATTAGTTTCTCCTTAAGGCCACAGACCACTTAATTTAAAGTTCTTCACTGCTAAATAATATTTTGATTTCAAAAGGACTAGAACTAGTTTTAACCTTAACAACAATCTTTCTTTCATGACCCGATTCCGAATAACATAAAT